CCAGGCGGCAAAGCAGCACCACTTAAGTCTCGATATAACAAGGATGTACCGAAGAACTGTAAGCTTCAATGCAGTAGTCATTTCATCGGCAGCTATAATAAAAGTGTCTTCGGGTGTAAAGGGTTAAGCCGAAATTACCATATAATAGACTGACACGTTGTTGATGTTATTTTAAAGGTGCACGCTTTCATTTCAGAAAAAAATTCTATTTTCTAGTTAAAAACGATGGAGTGAACGATTCTTTACAAAATAAGACCATGTCCAGCTCTTCACGATCTTTCGGTGAGATGACACCACATTTCTTAAAGTTTGTCATTCTATGCTGACAAAACTCTATTGCTTAACTGTCGAAAAGCTTCTTTGTTTCTTCCAGTACTTGAAAAATTTTCTAAGTAGACATCTCCCAGCTCTCCACAATGTTCTCTGCTAGATATATGATCATTTTCGAGAACCCTCGACGAAGTGAGTTTCACAGTACAAAGTTCCACAATCAAAACTGTTTTTTGGACATCAGACTTCGCTGTATCTGATAACGACCCTCCTTAAAAATTGCATCATAGGTACTCACGATATTTATTATTGTATTGTTTTGAAATATTTTTTTCTACAAGACTTAGTAACAGTAATAACTAGCGAGTTGAGAGAAAAATGTTCTCTTGGGTTTTCAATCAGACCTGAAAATATGAAGCGTTATTTATTTTCAGTTTTTATTTGATAACATTTCTATGGAAGGATACGACCTTAACTCTATGCAATATGTAATTGCACCGTGTACGAATAGAAAAAAGTTTCAAGAAACCCCATACTCTTCTAATTCTATAACAGATTATGGTTGAGTTCAACATGATATTAAATGATTGCTTGCTATTTGAGGGAGTCCGTAACGGATAATGTCAAGAATATGAGATTCTATGAGAATAGATTATCAACGGATAAAGTAATAAACGAGTTTTAGATGGTAGAAAATTATTTATATAAATGATGAATGCATGAATCTTCTATTAGAGGATTTGAGTAGGATGAGAGTAAAAAATTATTTTATATCATTCTAGATAACAAAATTAACATTGGAAGATATGTAGGACTAATCGATTGAGTCGACGTTTGTTAATAAAGAGAGTTAACAAAATAGTTAATTATATGTAGCAAGCACAAATAATTGGAAGCACCGTATGATTTGTAATAGTTGGTGAACGATTAGAACCAAGTTTCAAACTTTTCTCTTTTCTTATTTTGGAAAATCTTAAAATTTAATTTACAAACAAAAAAACGAGAACTTTAAAAAAATAGCTCTCGTCAAAGACTCCAAAATTCGATTCTGAACAACTCTTGTACCCAGAGTTTTGCTCCAAAATGCTTGCTTCGGGCGAAACTAGCCGTAAAATACTGTTCAAAAACGTTTTCTCGGTCAAAAACTAGCGAATATCCTACTCGGTTAAAACCTTATTTGTAAAATAACGAATGAAGGAAAAAATCGAAGCAATAGCTCATCTGATAGAGAATTTTAAGGGTTAGAAGGTAGACTATCTAAAATCAATCACTCGAACATCAAAGCAGATTTTAAAGAACTTTGTTCTTTGAACGTTTTTTATGCTTCTGTTTTTGCCCAACAGCAGTAAATTCAATAGTTATCGATTTTTTTTTGACAATAAATACTATATTGAATATTTTAATGAAATACAAACAAGTTCCAACAATCTGTCTTCTGACCCGTCAAATTCTCTATCAGTTGAGGTATTGCTTGAATTTTTGTCGTTAAGTCGTTATTTTACAAATAAGATTTTAACCAAGTAGGATATGAAAAATTAACGTGAATTAGCAGCATTCATCATTAGTTAATAACAGAGAGAAAAGGAAAAAAGTTTTAGATTTCTTTTGTACTCAATAATCTTCACACATTTCCCTTTTGATCTATGCAAGGACCAAATTTTCATTATGAATGGAGAACGAGCAAGAACTTTTTTAGAAATGGCTCCGAACTGCAAAATTTAACAAAATTTTCTACAAACTGGGAAAATTTGCAGAGAAAACTGAACATTTGAAAGTTTCGCTAGTTTGACCGAGAAAAGGTTTTTGAACGGCTAGTTTCGCCCGAAGCAAGCATTTTGAAGCAAAACTCTGGGTACAAGAGTTGTTCAGAATCGAATTTCGGAGTCTCCGACGACAGCTTTTTTTTCAAAGTTCGCGTTTTTTTGTTTTTAAATTAAATATTAAGATTTTTCAAAATAAGAAAAGAGAAAAATTTGAAATAAAACACGAAAGCTTTGAAAGAAAGCTCTCCGAAATTTGATTCTGAACAACTCTTGTACCCAGAGTTTTGTTCCAAAATGCTTGCTTTGGACGAAACTAGCCTTAAATTACTGTTAAAAACATTTTTAGTCCTAGAAGTCAAGATATATATTTCAGGACTTCAGACTGTGCTCTACAAGCTGACGGAAAAAAATCGGATGGGGGTTGTTCTTAATAAAAGTTAGAATTTATGAGGAATTTAGTTTAATACACACCTTGGTACTGCTTTTGCGGCACGTTTGTTTCTTGTCATTTTTAACAATTGTTCTTTACTAGCACGAGAATCTTTTGGTGCATTTCCAATACCAAAATTTTGTCCATCTAACTCGCCTGTTAGTCCGGCACCACTCTGACTCGGTCCCGGAATCTGAAAAAAAACAAGTTATACGAGCATAACTTTGAATTTAATTATAGTACAAAACGAAATGCCCCTTTATGAGTTAAGCAAGCAACATAATAATAAAGCAAAGAGAAAAATATATCTATTGTTATCGTATCATGCTCTAAATTGTTTTTTCTTCATCAATAGAAAAATCATGTATTTGCTTAATTATCGATTTTTGTAGATGAATTAAGAAAGTTTTCTTTTGCAATACTTGGATGAAGCCGACAGAAGATGAAACCTTGAAAGATCGTATAGCAAACACACATTGTTAATATATACTCAATCCAGTAAATATACTTTAAAGGTATCGAGTACAGTTAACAATTTAAATTCTCTATCATTTTTTATATAGTATCCATTGCCCCAGTTATCTATTTTGATTAAAATATGCAAGCGACAATAGCTTTATAATCTATACTTACAGATAAACGTTCTTCTTGCTGAAATATGAATGAATATTAAAATATATATATATAATTATCTGACATGCTTCATGAAAATAGTCCTTATAACGTTGTTTCATTGATGAATTTCACTATTAAAGAAAAATAATTATTACCTTTTGTCCATCTGTTTGATCATATTCGTTCTTATCGATGAGAACATAACGCTCGCGATATTTCTTCTCGACTTCTTTGTCTGTTGTTCTTCAGAAGAAAAAAGATAAAATGATAGATCAGATAACAAATTTTACATTAAATTTAATACTACTTACTTGCAAATATTTTTCAATGTGTTAAATACAGCTAAATGCACAAAATTTTATTAATAATATTTAGTAGTAACATGATTTTCGGTAAGTTCCTACCTTGAACTTGTCGTACATTTTTTATTTCAACCTCGTCTAGTGATCCATCAATAAATCGTCGACATTGATTTTCAATTTCGTATAATTGTTGTTCGGATAATGGTTCGTATGAAATTCCACTTCTATTTCCATGTAATGTATCGTGTAATGCTAATTCTTCACGAAGATATTTATTTTCCTTTTTATAATTTTCAACTGCTTTCTAAAATGAATGAGAAATTGTACGTCTATATATACAATAATTAAAATTTATACTATTATTTACAATTGGATCAACAATTTCATTCACTGATGGCTCAGCAGGTACACACATCATTCGACTGGAAAAACGTAGAGTTGATACCTATTATAAAATAATTTGTACAATTTTCAACTTCAGATATTCAAATCACTCACCGTTTCCTCTAAATGTTGTGTTTCTGGCCATATATTCGCTATCATGACCGTATTGCATCGTCCACCAATACTATCTTTTAGTGCATGTGTCAATTTACTACTACGAAAATGCAAAAAATTTGTTTTCTTATCAGATAAATTCAGCACAGCTTGTTCAAGAAATGATAATGATTTATTAATGAATGTTGCTTCTCGTTGAGTGACACCTTGTGACTAAATATAACAGTGAATATAACAGAAATGTTAAATATAACAGAAAACAGAGAATATATTATAGAAAAATGTATTCAAATATATTTACATTCGTTTTTGCCAGACGTTCTGAACCTGCTAAATCAACTAAATTCAATTTTGACACGGTATATTTTTCATCTGAAGCTAATATTGAACGACATTCGATCAATAATGTGAATATACAATGGGAACGAGATGATTGTTTATTAAGAATATGTTGGCCAATGGCACGATTCGTTTCACCCTTACGTAAAAGAAGAAATTTTTTATAAGGAAGACACATATTGATCATTATTTCACATACTTCAAACAAGAGATTAAGTGCTTCTTCTTCAGTATTGGCAATCCGATAAGACAATCCTTTTACGTAAATAAGCCCTCTGTCTTCTCCAATGCTTAATTGTTGCTGAGCATAATCATTTGGTGTATTTAATGTTCGTAATAAATCACACATTTGATCATTGTAGATTTCCAAATAGGCAATTCTTGAAATAGAAACAAATAGAACTATCTAATTGTTTCTGAAATATGAACAGCAATGGATTATATTTACCGTATGGAATATGAATAATCTTGTCTTGAATTGATTTCTTGATAAATATGTTGAAGTGCCCGAGGTATTATGCCACGATTTTGATAATTTTCAGCAAAACCTGTCATTGTGTGTGTTTTCCCAGCTCCTGTTTGTCCATAACACATAAGTGTGCCTATATTAGGAACAAAATTTATTTAGAATATCATGAACGTTTGATCTACATTTTGCTTACCATTGTATCCATCTAAACTGCGATCAACAACATCTTTTGCTACAGTATCAAATATTTCTTCTTGACTAGCATTATGAAATATTCCGTCCAGATGAAAACTCCAGTCGGTTACTTTATTATCAACAACAGCATTTGCCAATTGATTTCGATGAACTGTGACAGTCTAAATTGTTTCGAAGTAGAAGAAAATGTAAGTGGATGTTATCAGTTACAAAATTTCTTTATACTTACACGATTGTCGTGGCCAAACGATATGATATCCGAGGCAAAATTATTCGTTGGCCGTGTGCGAACATAAACTTTAACTTTATTGGATGTTCTTGGGGGCATAGTACTTCACTAAAAAGAATTAAACTGAAAGCGAACATCAAAGTGTTACAGCTACTGTCTAACCGCCTTTATGTTAGTTTCTCACTTCTAGACTGGAAGTTTACTTAAACAGTCGTTAGCGAACAAAAGAAGTTTGGATGTACCCACAAAATTTATTTAGTATTAATACGTTGAATACAGGTTTTGGTTGAAGGATATCTACAACTGTGAAAATCTACTCATTTTTGTAGAATAATACGCTTTTTCTTGCCCACTCCTTTCGATAACGTAGCAACGTACACTCTAGCTGAACTACAATTTCCATAGAAACATAAAATAACAAAAATACAGTGGCAAGAAAAACTGACCGAGATCATGTCTATTTATTCAAATCGAAAGGTTCTTACCCAACTCTTCTGGTTCTATCTTCGTTGTATGTGTTTCAAATGTAGTTTGTTTCGTTTCGATAAACAAAATGACTGTCAACAGTAATTGTGAACAATAAAAATGAATTTTATTTCAAATGAATCGATCGCCGAAGATCATATATTTGTTTTCTCTCCTAATTCTGGAATAAGAATTCACAGACAAAGTCGTGAACGTTCACAGAATGAATTGAATGTTAAATATACACCACAAGTTATACCTCGTTATCGACGAAATTACATTCGATTTCGAGCAAATTCATCAAGATCACGTTCAAGAGATGAAAGAGCGTTCTTTCGTTTACGTGAAAAAATTGATTATAGGAAAAAACTCATTCTACTATCAATGCAAATGGTAGCTCTACTACATCTTTGTTCAATAATGTATTTTTATCGGCAAATGCCTGGATTTGCTGTCAAATATACGGTGGTTTCACTACTGATATTCAATATTCTAGCCTACATCTGCGTTCAATACGATACGCAGCAGGCAGAATCAGCTGGTTTACTGATCGGAGAGCGACCGCTATTGTTTATCATCTGGTATTGTAAGTACTGCAATGAAATCCTGGGAAACAAGCGTTAAATATCCGTCTTTCAGGTGGACTGGGTGGAGGTCTAACGGCCCTTCTTTTAGAAAAACACAAAAATCTAAGAAGTCGCTCATTTTCTCAGCAATTGTTGGCCGTTTCTCTATTGAATGGAATGTGGTTCTACGCAACACTGGCACTGTACACAATCAAGAGTCAACAGCTCGGTTTTATCACTGCAAAGCATCAGTAAAGACATACGAGTAAAAAAGTGTCAATCTCATTCACATGGAGGACGGACGCATCGACATTACCGAAAGTGTCTCAGGAGCAATACCTCTATGGTCAAAAACTTCTTTCTAATATTTATAGAGGAAGGAGAAAAAGAAGTTATGTATAACACTTTAAGGTTTGAATAATCGCTCATATGTTTTTATGATTAAAGACGATCTTATGGAGTAGAGGGCGTAACTTAACAGATATCAGTGGGGTACTTCTATACAGGTTCGCCCATTTTATACATGACTTAAAACCGGGAAGGTTTGACTATACGCAATCGATAGTCCTACTAAAGGTATGTAAAGACGCCCTGTCGACCCATGGAAAAACTATTCTGAATAAAGTTCTTCCACGGTTATAAGTTCTGAATTGAAGCGTTTTTAGGGGTGCCAGAATAGTGAAATCTGACATTATCTAATACTATCAAACGTTCTCATACTCCTAGCTGGAAACAGCATACAAAGTTGCATATTTCTATCCTCAAATGAGATTTTCTCCTCTGACATTCGGAAAGAATTTTTGGCTGGAGGACCTTATATGCATTAGCAGATATCACTCTCGTTTTATAGAGTATTGAACGACCTCAAAATCTAACAAAACATAACTTTATTTATATTCAAATGAAAGCGGCTTCCAAGTTTGTCCGTATGACGCAACAATGAAGTCTCTAGCACTTTTTACTTCTTCATGGTAAGCGTAGCCGTGAGAACTACTTTGGCTCTTCCTGGCCTCTTCCCTCGAAAACTACACGTCATTTCTCCAAGATCTTGTTAGCACGCACACTACTCGACTAGTGCTACAAAAGGCACAAGGAATTGACTTTGGCCAGGTGATTTTTCTTGAGACAGTTTTCTAGAAATCTCGTCAAAATCCTATTATCTGGCTAGGATGAGGAACGGAAAAATACAAAATTACTCATAAAATGGCATGCTGAATCCGAATTTCAGGTTAGTTTGGATTCAATATTTATGAGCAACTGAGAATTTTGACGGGTCGACAGGGCGTCTTTACATGCCTTTAGTAGGACTATCGATTGCGTACAGTCAAACCTTCTCGGCTTTACGTCGTGTATAAAGTGGGCAAACCAGTATGGAAGTACCCATTGACAGAATATTCGAAACACGCAGCGGCCTTCTGTTCAATTTGAACACTAGAGAAAAGTTTGATATAAGGGTTGCTAACACTTCTGAGTTTCCGAGACTCTTGTCCAATATATTAATTTCAGTTGACGCTTACAGTTGCTCGAACTCGAGTCTGATGTAGTTGACTATGTTCAAGCATTTTAAATTTCCTAACCATATCGGTATATAAGACTAATGAAAAAAAAAGTTAAAATTTAAAGTACTTTGTATTATTTACATAATATTAGACAAAATTTCTTTTTTATTTTGTAGAAATGGCGGCCAAAGAAAAAATAATGCAGATCAGGCAGATATACTGTCAGGTCTTTCGTAATTACAGTGATCTATAACATCAGCAAAAGTAAACACTCTGATTTTTGCTATATTTTTTTCGATTCTCAGTTGTTTCATTCTGTAGTTTTTGCGGCTGCAACCCTGTGTTTTTACATATAACCTATTCAAGAAATTTTTAAAGCTTGTTCAGTTCTTCGTTCCGTTTTGTCTAAGGTAACCGACTATGAGAGTCCGAGTCTGCAATCGATTTTGAACAAAAACGAGCTTTACTTCTCGATTAGGTTCATATGGATATATTGAAGAAAGATGATAAGTATATCTGCAAATTCAAGCTTTTCTATTTATTCCGTACAGGGATCCTTCTACCCAGAACGTTCCTGCTACAGCATCATTCGGATGAAATGAAATTTCAGAAATAAAAGCTCTGATATGAATAGACTACCCAGGAGAAATTTGGGGATCATGCAGTTGCAACATGTAAAACGAAAATTTCTATGGCTTTTTATGGTATTAAGCGAGGTCTGGCTGACTGACAAATCAAGGCCGTTTTTTTGTCACTAACAAATCGATTTAAAAATACAGAGTTAGGAAGCCCAAGGTGTCCTCTTTCAAATGCACTATGATACTTTCAAAATTAAGATTTGACGGTTTTTGAACAAGTTTTCTAGAAGCACCACGGGAAAAAAGATTTTTTCCAATTTTTTGCTCTTATCGATTTCCAATATTGTGGGCATTGAGGCGCGCAAATATCCGTTTGGCGTATGTTTCTGTCTGTGCAAACATTTTTTTGCTTAAAAATCTAGTTTCTTTTACTATGAGGAACAAGCTAAGAATGTGTAAATACGTGCGTGCCACTATCAAATGCCGCCTCATATATTATTCGATATTAGATTGAGTTCATAACAAAAAAATCTTGTTTCATATGCATTTATTAGAAAGCGTGAATGTTCATTGCATGTGAGAAAAAAATCTAGCCTATTTATCCAGCATATGTTCTATTTTAGTTTTTTCTCAAATGCGTATGTAAAAACAAAATATTTTTCTGATTAAAAAAATTTTTTTAAGGGAATAAATATATATTTCTGTATACGTGACAATAGTGGAAAGAATTCTCAACCATTGGTAGCCAATAAGAGGTGTTTTCAAATGTAAAGAATAGTGTTGTTAGACAAAAATCACCTAACGTATGTGCATATACCTTCATCAGAAACTTTCGTTAGCTTTCATACTGAAGAACTAGGCAAAGTCCGATATTAACGCTAACGGTTGTCTCTAGAGGTTGACCGTGGCCGATTTTTGATATTTATTCTTATTTTTCACTCTGTCTTTCTACCTGTGCTACAGAATGTTATAAAAAGAGAAAGATATTTATTTAAAGGGATTTATAAGCAGGGTCACGCGATAATCCTGTAAGGTCTGATGAAATCGTATTCCAAGCACATCTTGTAAAATCTTATAAGACTCTTGATCCATGTAAAATTCAATAATATGATATCATAAGATCGTGCATGATCAATCATATTTTACGATTCTTCGTCTTAGATCGTCTATACGTACTACGCAGTGTTATGTAGAGATTAATTATCGCATAAAGAAAACAACAGTACTGAAAAAATGCTCAGCTTTCGCGGTTCACTGTGAAATAATAAAGAAAAACTATTGAGAAAATAGCTTCATATATTTCATCTACAGCTCGTAAACATTCGGTTGATCCTTCTTCAAAATCTTTGTAAACAGGGACAAATCAAAAATCTATCAACCAGGAAAAAGAAGCATTTATCTCGAGGAAAATCATCTAAATTTTTAATGGCAGCGTTAACTACTCGTGTAAACATTGAGTTAAAGGTCCAAAAACTGCAGCACGCATAAAATTCAGTATTTTCTATCAACAGACAAAGTTTTTATATAGGTTAAGGGGGTCAGAACTCCCCTTCTCTAAAAATGAAAACACAGCTTGGTTGTTTTTTATCTAATCAAAACATATGAGAAAAAATATTACAAAAGAGATAAAAACTAAAGAACAAATAAAAAGAACAAGAAATATGGTAAAAATTGCATTTCTTTTGTCATTCAGACCATCTGCGTTTGATCTCCTCGTTCTCTAGTCGCGGCTGCCAAAGAGCAGTATCATTCATTAAAAGATGCATGGTCTAATAACCTAAATCTTCGATGATTTTTATATTTTTAAATTTTTAGTTTTAGGTTATCACAGGGTATCCACGGATGCCACAAGTCTTTTGTTCTTTTTTGCGATATCCTGCTCTTGACTAAAATAAAATCCTTTCTTATCTATGAGTTTATAAATACTGCACAAATAGTTCGTTTTTATGTTTTTTAGATTCGTTCACGAATCGTCTCTCTTTTCCTTATAA